GACAGATCGTTCCCGCTTTTGAAGTTTCAAACAAAATATTTCTCTTCACATCCCTGAAGAAGGAGACACCCGGGTTTTAACCGGGGGCCTCTCGTTCTACAGTCGAATGTTCTCTACTACTGAGCTATATCCCGGCGTCAGAGCTAACCTTTGCTTTGTGTTCCGTAGGAACGGATACGCGAAAATGCTTTGATTAGAAATATTAAGAACGGGACTGATCATTTCTTCCTTCAAATTCTCAAAAAAATATTTCTCTTCACTTCCCTGAAGAAGAGGACAGCCGGGTATGAACCGGAAGCTCTCGAATAGCAGTGGAATGCTCTACCACTGAGCTATACCCTCCGTGTCTGCGAACCTTTGCTTTGTGCTGATTTGAGACGTCACTACTAGTAGGGAGAGCTTGTCCCTCGCCTACGGAGTTTCTCTGATGCATTTGTTTGAACACTTTTTGTTATTAAAACAAACATGCTTACAGGAAACTAAAAAAAAATTAGTAAATTATTCTTTAAATTGTGTTTCATGTACATAAAATATAAGAGTAAATATTATTTTACCTATTTAAATAACAATTGCAAGTGTAGGATTTTAGATGTATTTACTACGAACGCATTGCGATAAACATAGACACATTTATTAAATTGTAGCAAATTATAAGAGTTTTTTTATTCGTATATTTATTTTTGTTGTTATCCTTTTATTACGTCGTTAGGGAAAAAGGATGAGAGTAAATTTTTACGATGCACACGCACACCGTCACGGATGCGCACGCATACCTTCACGACATCGATGCACGCGCGCACACCGTTGTCTAATATTTTAACATGCCACTTTTTTGGTGCCATGGGACTGATAATTGGGGGATCGTAATAGCTATTGTTGTAAACCATATCTGTTGGAACGCATCCCCCCTGAGCATTCCCCCTTTACAGCTTTTTGGCCATTATCTCGGCACCCGGACCTCACAGTCCATTAGGACCTCGGTCATTCGATCCCTCTCTATCTGCTCTTCCAGTTATTTTAATTTCATGCTCATAGGGCTATTTTTTCTATAGTTTTTAATTGTCTTAAACTTTTTAAATTTGTTTAAATTCACAATATCTTGACTCCTGTTTGAATCTCGGATTTGAGATTTAAACCAAGTTTTCCACTCG